ACCACTCAGTTCAACCGACACCACAACTATCTTAGCCTCTCTGTGCGGGACCGCACTCGCCTCATCACATTCACCAGCTGGTGGACTGTACTCTTCTGCGGTGGGATTTTCTGCATGGACACATCGCCCCTACAAAATCTGACATTCCGCTAATCTGATAGCAATCCTACTCGCCTTGTTTATGCGCTCGCCAACAGGCAGCATGACCACGAGCGTCCTTGTCCACTTGGTATTCCTTGGTGGGATAATTTCCCATTCCATGTTCGTGGGTGCCGTGCTAACAGGCTACTTTAGGCATAACTTGGGTTCTTTGGGTTGCCGGGGCTGCGTCAATCACCGCAGCGCTGGGCGGGGGAAACAACTGCTCGTAAGTTAACGTCATCGACGATTATGTCATCACACCTTAATTCACGCCATCACAGGAACACCCATGAGCAAATCGTATACTGCAACCAGCTCAACGCCTTGGAAGGATTTGCGTGGGTCGAGTGGTGAGTTTTTTTTCTTTGTTGTGCGCTTTGAACTTCAACTGAGGCGAGGGTTCTTAGGATTCTATGCACTTTTGCCATCTTTGTAGTCATCGTCTGCGCAATCCGTTCCATGCGCCGTGGGGACGGTGCCCGCGGCTCCCTGGTCGTCAACGCCTAAACCAAGAGAAAATTTACCTCTATCCTCACGAGAACCGGGAATCCCGTTACGAATCCATTTAATTTCATGTTGCTTCTACGAACTCTGCTCTTTATTTTCCCACATTTTAGTGTTGTTCAAATTCACCGCTTCCTGGTCTGCCTATCTTGTAGCTGCATGATTCATGTAGACTAATGTATGTACAACGCTTTTTGTGTTGCACTAGCTGGAATGTAGTCCCACCTTCAGTCGTAGACGCGTGTCAAATTGGATCCAAATTGGATCAATAAACAACGGACCCGCGTGAACTAAGAATTCGAATTTTCAGCTCTCGCCGGCCTACCCAAATGCGAGAAGCCTCAATCGAGCTCCCATTGCTGCCAAGCTATGCGACTCTCACGGTTTCAGACCGTTTCGGGCCGCCAAAAATAGCAAAAATTACTACGCCCAACGGGAATCGAACCCGTCTCGCTTGCTGACACCTGCGATGGAAGGCAAGCATGATAACCACTTCACCATGCACGTTTATTTCAAATTCGCCTGAGCATATATGACCCTTACAACAGTTTAGTCAGCTACAGCCCGATGCAGGGTGAGGTCTGTTGGGTGCGAGGATCGGCATACTGGAGTGTGAACACAGCTGTCACGCTGCTCGGAGTTTTTTCCTAAATGCTACAGAAGGCTGTTCGTTCATCATGACACAGACTGCAAATCCCTATGCTGAATGGTATATTTCACACCAGATTTCATCATAAATTTAAGACCTACCCTTATAGTGAAACAAATACAACCTCATCGACTCGAGCTCTCAGCCATAGTATAAATGCACCAAGCATTCATTAGATTCATTATTCATTACAGTCAGAATTCTATACTACAGCCCAAATCGACATGCACCGGGAATAACCGCCATTACTTAAATCAAGGTTTCAGACCAGCCAACCTGGCAAGAAATAGCCACAAACACTGACCTGAAAGACCCAAGTTGACAACCTCTCAGCAGCTTCGCGCCTAGCAGCCTTTTGGGTGGAGCCCACGCCTGCGCATTCCGGGATCGCTGTGTCCTGGACTGTAAAACACAAAGTTATTTCAGCCCTTTTACGGGCGTGGTACAGATTATATGCGCTTACTGATGGGCGTGGCTCGCCAGGACGGGTTGCCCTGGGTGCCAATATTTTCGTAATCCCAATTCGCAGAGACACCACGGCCGGTCTGTTGAATCCACTCGTTGAGGCACTCCGTCCAGTTGCCACTAGGTGCATCAAAGTTGCGAGCCATTTGAGAAAGAGCTGGAGTAGGAGAAGTAATAGGAGCTGGATAAATTGTTCGAGTTGTAGGACGAGTACGTTGTGCTGCCTTTGCGTCCACCCTTAGCATTGCTTTATAGATATTATTCGTGAAATAGGTAAGAGATTCCCAGCTGTACCTCCCCCAAACTGCCTTGCTGTAGAAAAATTGCTAGGTATGCTTGACATGCTATCCCATACCTCAAATTTTGACGCATACATACTCCGATTGACCATATTTTACTCTAGTTCCTAGGCCTTGGTTGCAGGTTAAAATAGTCGAGTTTTGCACGTTAAATTACACTGCACCCACGCGGGTTACACTGGCGAACAGCCCACCAGAAACTGGATGCTCCGACCAGGTCGTGATGGCTTGAACTCGACATTACAACGGTTATTGCGCAACCCCCCCCCCCCCCGCGTGATTCAATAGTTTATGCTCCGAGCTATAAAGGCCCATAGCTCCGATATGGGCGCTTTGGGGCTCTAGTACAGCTGATGCCGGCGAATAGAAGACTTAGTGATTAATTTATATGGTGATTGCGCCCAAAAATCTTGCCTTTGCACCACGGATAAGATGCGCTAGGTTTGTGTTCGCTCAAGCAGTGCACCGAACACTCAGCAAAGTTCCGATGCCACAACGCGAGCCGGAATGGTTAGCCCAACATCTAGCTCTAGGTAACGGCGCGCTGAAATATCTTATTTATTGTAATTGTGCTATGAGGGGCGGTTGAACTTAGCGCCGTGATGTGTTGCCTCGAATTGGTATTGTATTTGTTTTGAACGTTACGCTGACCAAACCGCGGCCGCAAGTAGCCTAAGGTTTCTACAACCCTAAGCCAGGACGTATACTGAACCCACTAAAGCTGTGAGTACTAGCTTGTATATGGATGCAGAAATGGTACGTATAATTATTGGTATGGGAGTGCCTTGTGAATGATACCCTCAACGCAACGAACAGCCCCGACGTGTTAACTTGGACGCACACCAATATATATGGCATATCATCATCACACACCTACGACATGAAAAACGTCTTCTGCTCTCTCTTGCGACAGTTAACCGCTGGCTATCCCACCTCGCTTTGCGGGAGATTTGGAGCGAACTTCCCAGTTTCTACCCGCTCCTTGCACTTTTCTTCGATCGGGACTCGAGCTACCAAGACTGGCGATGGGATGCTATAGCTCAAGCTTCGGTAACGTCATGATACCCTCATCCTATGCAAGCATTAGGACCTAATGTCTGTGTTTGATCAGCGTTGTCTTAGCATGAACGGGCCAAGCACGGGTGAAATCGATACCAGTCCTGCCAGATGGGCTCGCTTCGATTATTACGCTTCGCATGTGCTCAAGTTATATTTCAACTTTAACAGTGCCTACCGTAGCTGGAGCTTCCTTTTGCCTGTTAAACGACTGGCTGCTACTCGCCCTCCAGCAACCACTTACTCTGCACCGCTCTTCCCGAATCTCGTCTCAGTTACGATCAGGATAAAGTATACCCCTTCATTATTACAGCAGGCCGCTGCGGTGTTGACATCACCCTCGGCACAATTACTCGGTGTTGAAATGTTTGCTGGAATATTCACTACAATTCCCCCTGGTTTGCGGCACGTTAACCTTATCTGGGCGAACAACACCGTATACGAGGGGTTCACTCGATCTGTCACTGAGTATGTTCGCTCTCTCTCAATACCCGCCCTTCAACAGGACTATGACCTTGGGCTCGCGGGAACTAGTCATGGCTTTTCCGATCTCCTACCGGGCGATTATCTGACTGCTGTGCCTCGGTTGACCTCACTCATGTCCGTAAAAGGGTTTCCTTTGTCCGTCCATATGCTGGATCTTCTTGCAGGGTTCCCGTTTCTATCCGAGTTGTCATTGTATCATACCCCTGAAGAAGTGGTCTTGCCCCAGTTAGGGCGCGAAGCTCAGTCGGGGCATGTATCGACTCGGTTCCCCCGTTTAAAGGCGCTGTTCATACTCTCATTTCATAGCGTATACGAAGCGACCTGTTCAATTCTGTCGCATTTTCCTGTGGAACGTCTCGAGTCCCTTGAGCTCGAGTTCGCCAACGCATACGAGATTCCCTCGTCATATGCCACGCACTCTTTATTCCTTCTTCTGGGGAACCGTGGCTGCTCTCTGCATAAATTTTGTCTTGTGATCGACGCCGATAGATGGGACTACAGCGAACCACTATGGGATATTGAAAACGAGGCATATGCATTGGCGCCATGGTCCTCGCTCTCGTGCTTGCTCAGTTGTCACGAACTCCGCTCGATTGTTATCAAATGTGCCGGTGCATATCACGGCTGCGTACTCAACTTAAACGAAATTCATTCTCTTGGGACTTCATGGCCCTATTTGTCAAGACTATGCATTACGGAGACCGTCACTGGTGTTGATTCCGTGAGGCAATCGACTAGGCCGCGTGTAATGAACATGGCCGGCTTAGAGGAACTTTCTAAAGTCTGCCCGCGGCTCGAAGTTTTGAAAGTCACCTTGGATGTCGAGTTTCAAGCTGTTGGGACTAGTGTTGCCCAGAGGGGAGCACGAGCGACCTCGCTTCCGCTTGAACTCGACCTTGGCTACTCCCCATTAGCGGGAGAAGATACCATGGATGTCGCCAGGTTTGTGTACTCGTTGGTTGATTGAATTGTGGGTTTATGCTCGCATGGCAGGCAACTGCTCTCAATTTGGCCTGGTCTCCGTTCATTAAGGACGTACTGGAAGGCCGGTCGGTTTGGTGCACACAACGTTTACCTCGCAAAATGGCGCCAAGTCGTCAGCCATTGCGGATCCTTGGTTGAGGACAGACATTATCCTGGGAAAATCAGCAGTGGTGCTGAAGAGAAGAGATGTAAGTCATTATATAGCCGTATCTTGGCCTGGGCTGGCCGCTAACGCACATGATCGTAGACTGGCAAGCCTCATGAGCTATTATTAGCTCTGACCAACATGAACCGTGGTTTGTGTAGTTGGCTGTGGGTTATTGGAGATGTGTGAGGAATTAGAATGGTATTTCAACGATGGTTCGCCTCATGATACCACTATGATACATATCGTGTATAATCACGCCATGTTGGACCTCAATCCTGCAGCAGAGTTGAAGCTCACCGATTTAATTAGGGCTAAGATGTAAGCTCCCCAGCACGAAGTACAATGGGTACTGAACTAGATGTCCCGGCAACTCGAAGGATGCTGGATTTGGTACTGGCATTTTTACCATTGAACTGCTCTCGAGTAAAATCGCTTAAACCACCAAAACCTCCGGGTGATTTTTCTGAGATTCCCATGGGTGAGTCGCCGGAATAGGTCGAGCCTATTCCAGATTGGTAGGCAAGCTGCTTGAATTTCAGTTATTTCCTCTATGTTGGCGTACGGGATAGAGCCACAGAAATACATGCTACTCGCGAATATTATTGAGAGGTGCCTCTAGTCACCTTGGGGCACTCCGGAAATGGTGGTATATGCAGCCCCCCATGTAACTTTGGCGTTGTTTGTTTATCGGCGCTTGCTCATCACAAATTGATTTCAACTGCTACATCGGAATTGAAACCACATGGTTTGAACGAGTCAAAAGATATATTTACGCGGGTGCATTCAGGGGGACATGACAGGGGATGTATATTACACATGCAATCGTATCACGGGCAAAAGAGAATAGGCGAGAAGGGCAATCAATGTCTAATCGAGTTTGCATGTAAAACTCTAGAAAGTGAAGGCCGCTACTTGTATGGTTTTGACAGGGTGGCTATAAATGGCAGGGGGCAAAACTATGATACACATATACGAGCGAGGAGGGTCCAGGTTTAGCCTGCGGGAACGGATGTACGAGGCGGCAGAGGCGGAGGGGACGATGCCCTGCGTGCCGGGTCCTTGGGCGTGGATGTTCCCGACGCGTATTCGTCGCTCGTGCGACTTGCTTGAGGCGTTTCTGGCCTCGAATTACGAGCGACGTCATCGGCGGCGGCAGCCTTTTTCAGCGCTTCTGACGCGGCTGATAACGCGGGGGACGTGCGAGGAGGCAGAGGGGGCGGTGGAGATCGTGGCGAAGGCATCATTAAGGGGAAAGCGCGAGGCGAAAGTAGTGGTGCCGGCGTCGACAATCTAGGGGTATTGGTGGAAGGGAAAGATGGCTCTGGAGACTCGGTATCGATCGGTGTAGTTGAAATCGTGTCAATGGATGCGCTGGAGGCTGCGGCCTTGGGTTGCGTGACTATTTCAGCTTTACCAAGCG